ATTGAGAATTCAGATTTGCTTTGATATTTTGATTATGGTTATATTTAGTTTCACAAACATAAAACATAAAATTTAAAACAATTAATATTAATAAAATAAATAATTTTAATAATGATAAAATATCATATATCTAGCTCATTAGAACAATTATTTTGACCAAACTATGTTTATTGTTAAATTTATTTTTAGTTTTTAATCTCTTAAAAATAAGCACTAAACAAAATTGTGACTGTATTTGAAAATAATATTATATAAGTAATATATAAGTTCTAGATAATTTTCTGTAATTGAAAGACATTATAGTCAACTAAATATATGAAAAATAAATAAAAATTCAATAATACTAATTATAAACTATTTTATTACTCTAAAAGTATATTTTATGTTATTTAAAAATATTTTTAAATGTATTATTACTATTTTGTGAACTTTCCTTTTTTATGAAATTATTTTATATATACATATTTTTTATGTTATTTAAAAATATTTTAAATGTATTTTTACTATTTTGTCAACTTTCCTTTTTTATGAAATCATATGATATATACATATATTTTCGTTTTAAATTTGTTTTTTATGACTTTCTAAAAAATGCTTTTTTATTACATATCTTTTTGGAAATTTTTGAAAAGGAAAAACTAAAAATAAAAATATTAATAATACTATTTTCAATTCATTAAGGGTATCAATGTAATCAACCATCGTGAGAATGAACGTGAGAGCGACACATAGGAAACTGACTTCTCAAATAATATTATAGAGATATATATATATATATACTAGATTTTGACCCGCCATTGAAAAGGCGGGTATATCTTTTGTTTTATTTTTTTGGGGTTTTATTCCCTCAACTAAAGATGAATCGTAAAAAAAAAACCTCAACTAAAGATTCAGTGAAATAAACCATCAACTTTAGTTTTGTTAATGTCTGTCACACTCCGTCACAGAATTATAGACGGAGGGTAACATACGTTAACATAACTAAAGTTGAGAGTTTATTTCACTAAATTTTTAGTTGAAGGTTTTTGTTACGATTCATCTTTAGTTGAGGAGTTTTATTACTAAATACGATTAGATATTTTAAAATCTTTATTATCATTTATTCATTATTTAAGAATCTTAACATTGATTTATAAACATTTAAAATAATTTTTATTTTTTATATATTACTTTATCAATTTTATAACATATTTATAAAGTTTTCTCATTTAATACTTTTATAAATTATTATTAAGGTTTAATGATGATTTTATAAGATTAAAGATGTGATTATTTTTCATACTACAAAACATGAGGTAAATAAATAAAACCAGAAAGCTTATTAATATGGTAGGAGTATAACATATTGGTTCAGAAATCAAAAAGAAGAAAAATAATCTTACATTATTTCTTCCGAAATAGAAAAAAGAACGAATCAAATTGAAATTGTGTAAAGAGAAGAAAAAAGTCATTGCCATATTTTAAGTAACAGTGTTGAATTTCTAAACTAATTAAATATCCTCAACACTATCTACAATTTTATATAACTTAGAAATTTTAATTATTTGATATTTGACAGTATTAATATAAGAAAATTGTATGTATTGCCTCCTTTATAAAGATTTATCACTTTCTTTCGTAATATCAAGAAAATCCATGTATTATTCCATCCTAAGAAATAGCAGATAAAAGTTTATAAAATCATCGTTAAACTTTATTAATAGTTTATAAAATATTAAAATATTTACTAAATTTTATAAATAGGTTGAAAAGTTAATAAAGTAATATGTAAAAATTATAAATTATTTTAAATGTTTATAAATCAATTGTAAGATTCTTAAATAATAAATAAATAATAACAAAGATTTTAAAATATTTAACCGCATTTAGTAATAAAACCCCTCAACTAGAGATGGATCGTAACAAAAACCCTCAACTAAAGATTCAGGGAAACAAACCTTTAACTTTAGTTCTGTTAACGTATGTCACCCTCCGTCTAAAATTCTGTGACGGAGGGTGACATACATTAATGAAACTAAAGTTGAGGGTTTATTCACTAAATCTTTAATTGAGGGTTTTTTTTTACGATTCATCTTTAGTTGAGGGGTTTTATTGCTAAATACCCTATTTTTTTCAAAAAACTTAATTTAATATTTGTGTGTTTTTAATCATATTTGTATTTAATATTAATTTAATATAATTTCGGTGACTATATTTAATATGTCAAGTTGCATAACTATACATTTATGCCATATGCATTTTAGGAAAAAAATTTAAACTTTATTTCTAAAATTTTGCAACATATTATTTTTCTTATTAGTTATCTAACATATTTAGTTAAGAATATTTGTACCCAAAAAAAAACGACTCGAAATCAACCCGAAAATCAAAGTCTCATACTTTATTAGATCTGGCCTTTATGTTCGAATGGTTCTTATACTGTTATATCCGAAAATCCAATCCACACCAAAAATTGATCAAAATTCTTGAATAATGTTTGAATTTTTTTTAATATATTCTGTTAAATATATAATATATATATGTATGGGTTTCACTAATTTTAAGTAAAATCACATTTATTATTTTTTTTAATTGAAAAACCTATTTAAACCCTATTAAACTAAAACCCGTAGAATATAATAAAATAAATAATATGTCCATAATAATATCAAATACACATTAAATATATACTGATATTTTAAATTAGATATTGGTCCTATAATTAGGTACCAAATAGAATATGGTTACATTATATATGTAGATGTTATCTTCTAGGGAATTTAAATATGTTGATTGAAGTAATTATTAATTGATAATTTGATTCTATCACATAATTTTCTTATATTTATTTAATTTTAGTTTTTGTTTGATTAAACAAATTAAGTATTTATATGTAAACAGAAAAAATAGATCCCAGTTATTATGCTGAAGTGTGGTTAATTATATAGATCACTGAAAATAATTATTTAGACTAAACCTCTATCGACTGATCATGTTCCTAATTTAATAGAGTAAATTTAAGGTAGTGACTATTTAGATATTATCTATTCAGAAAAATTATATACAGTAATTTCACAAATAATTATTTATTTATTTATTATAAACATAGTTATTGACTATGAATATAAATGCTATTAATTTTTATTGATAACATATATACACAATGGTGTTAGTCATGGGGAAATCAAAGCATATAATAGATGAATTGCTTGCTAACAATGATTGTAGTAATATTTCTTCTTTGCTTAGATATATAGTTAATGTATACGTGATATTTTTCTATTAAAATAATACATCCCTAAATTATAGGAAGTAAAGGGGAGGTTATAAAATGCGAAGTCTCGTTATCGATACATAGTGAAACCTCTATAAATTAATAATTTTTGAACTACACCAAAATTATATTTTTTTATTAATTTATAAAGATTATTAATTTATCGATATATTTATTAAACCAAAAACTCAATTTGGGACTATAAAATTATATTATTATATAGAAATTTTTAATGTATATTAATTTATAAAATATTAATTTAAATAGTTATATTGTATATGTTAAATACTGACAATTAATTATTTTAAAACATGAATTATAAATAATTAGTTCGACTACACATATATCATGTTTTAATAGTATATATATATAGCATCTCTGTGTCTAGTTTACTTAGTTTAAAGTTTCAAAAGTTATATTCTCCAAAAACAAAACTTCAAACATACCTTCAAAATTAGCTATATTTTACACTATAGTCCTTATATTTATCATAGTTAATATAAATTCATTAAACTTTTACAGATAACACATTCCTTATATATTAATCATGAAGCATTACAACATTTTTTGCTAGTCACGTGTCGCAATGAGAATGATTTTTAGAATTTTTAAAGAAATAGGTTGGTCTAATTAAACATATATTATATTTTTATTAAACTAATTATCAAATTAATTAGTAGTGTACAAAATAATATTATCTATTCTTTCCTTAAATAAAAATACATAATTACCTAATATAATTAACATAGATATCACAATTAATGACTATGAATAATAAATATTTGATAACAATTTTTTATCCTCTTTACTTTTTATTTAATTTTATAATATTAAATAAATTTAAAAATCACATTAATCATAGAAATAAAGCCCAAAATAGCCCCAATCCAAGTTTTTATCCCCAAAAGAGCATCCAAGGCCTATTATCACAAAAATAGGTTTCATTAATATGCTTATTTACCATAATATCCTTCTCTTTGTTTAATTAATCATCTTTTTAAAAAAAAATTGAAATCACGACGACGGCTTCTCACATCTCAGTTGTCGA